CAAACTGACAAGATCGTTCACTGTCTATAGCTGGGTACCCATTTCCACCTGGGTGAAGTGAGGAAAATTTGTGCAAAGTGCCTTTCCCAAGGACACAACGTCGGGTCCCTAACGGGATTCGAACCCACGACCTTACGGTTGCGAGTCCGAGAGCCTAACCACTAGGCCACCGACGCCGTGTGTGTTTAACCCAACCAGTACAAGTTTGACTATTCGAATACAAGGTCGGGCTATTTTGACCCATATACAATGTACCTCCAAAGAGGAAATGTGAGGCAGCGTGGTGGAATCAGGCTCTCGTCAAAATAATCAAAGTGAAGAAACTTGCATCTTTCCGCAGGTTTGAGAATATTTATCAAATTTTTCTTTTTTGGCTCAACACCTTTCATGCCCAATAAAGAACTCATTTCTGTGTTGTTTTTTTCTTTCTGAGAAACGTTGATTAAAGGCACAAAAAAAGTAAATTTTCAGTTACCGTGGACTTTTAATCTAAAGAAATAACTAATCTTTGGCGGCCATTTTCTCACAAATTTTGCCTCTGAAAATAGGTGACCCCCACCTCCTTCATTCACAAATATCTCGACTTGTATTCAAGATAATGGGATATTTTTTCATACAAATAAAGACAACTGAACAAGCTTTAAGATGATACCAATAACTCGACATGTCCAAAAATTGACGAGAGCCTGATTCCACTGCGCTGCCTCACATATTGTTCTGATCATCTGCTTTCAATTCCAATTCTGTCCTCCCCCCCCCCTCCCCGCTGACCCTCCTCCTATGGGCTCATGACTCTCTCTGCAGTTTTTCTACTACTCTCCTCCTTGGCCCCTTCTTCAGCTGTCTTTCAGCCACACCCCTGATCTAATGGTAGTTAAGATGAAACACCTATACTGAAAGCTACAAATCTCGGAGGTCCCGAGTGCAAGTCGTGCTGGTCCTACAATCAGTAAGAGAAGACATCGCTCGCCACCAGGGCAAAATTCATCATAATTGATTCCTACCAAACGGGAAAATTCTTAACATGTGTCTCATGCGTTCATATGACCTTATGTCGATGCGAGTGCCGCAAAACACTTTACAAAACCAAACCTTCTCCCTATGTCACTTGACTGTCTCGTGGTAAGATCCTCATTACCATACCACGGTGTCCGCTAGGGAAGGATGTATGACTATGTTTACAGAGACGGCACGTTCATGTACTGCCCTGTCACGGTTAGATGGGATACCATCGTTTCTGCACATCTTTCTTTTTTGTTTGCTGTTTTGTGTGTGTGTGTGTGTGTGTGTGTGTGTGTGTGTGAGAGTGT